GGGGCCTAGATCTGGATTGTGCTCATCGGTCGCTACTACCACCTAAGCCTGGATCCACCCATAGACCTTTCATCGTGCGGTTCTTGAGGTTTCAACAGAAGGAGCGGGTGAGACTTGCTAGAGAAATCGGGGACATCCGCTGGCAGAACCATAAGATAAGCTTCTATCAAGACTTCTCCAAGGCCACACAGGAGCGACAACACTCCTTTCTGGAATGTAAATGTCTGCTTCACTCAGCCAAGATCCCATTTGGCATCAGCTATCCTGCTGTGCTTTCATTCACAACGCCAAACGATATAAATCATCGTTTTGATGATCCTAAGAAGGCCTTGAAATGCATCAAAAACCTTTGAGTGTCCCTGGCCTTGCAGGATGATGAGCCGCCATTTATTTATTATATTTTTTTTGCACCTTGCAGACTGACTCGCGTAAGACAAAGTAATCTTTGTGTCGATCTCCATCCTCCTCTCTGATAGACATTGGACGAACAATTTGGGTTTATAACACTGATAGTTGGAGATGTTTTCCTTCTTTTCTTTAATTTACTCATTGTTTATTTATTTATCTTTTGCTCAGTCTCTGCACTATGCCTTACACAACTACCTGTAACCCATAGCATAGGTCTACCTTTTGATCCTTAGGACTGTTACTATCCCTATTGTTGTTTTATAGGTGCATTCTCTCTTATAATTTGTAGAATGCCAGCAGCCATACCAATGTAAACCCTGCTACTGCTGATTGATCGAAGCTAAGCAAGTTTGGGCTTGGCCAGTACCTGGATGGGAGACCTCCTGGGAAAACTAAGGTGCTGCTGGAAGTGGTGTTGGTGGGCCAGTAGGGGGCAGTCTTCTGTCTGGTCCTAATAATAAGATCCCAGTGCAGTGATATGGACACTGTGCTGTAGGAGCTGCCGTCCTTCGGATGGGACGTTAAACCGAGGTCCTGTCTCATTGTGGTCATTAAAGATCACATGGCACTTGTCGCAAAGAGCATGGGGTTCCCCGGTGCCACGGCAACATTCCCAATCTGGCCATCTAACCATAGTAATTGGCTCAATGTTTCCCTCCCTTTCTGCCTCAAGCTGATGTGTGGTGAACGTTCTGGTGCTAAATGGCTGCCGTGCATCATCCAGGTGGGTGGTTGAGGTCCCCCCCATGTTGAGAAAAATAAGGTTTGCCATGTTGTTTTATGTATAATTACTTTATTATTTTGATCCTAGAAGTGTTGTATTATGACTGTTGTCTCACTGGATAACAGTATTGACTACTGATGTTATTCTTTTAATATAAGGTTTGACCACTAGTATTTTAATTCTTAAAACCTAACTATTATATTCTGTGTAAGCTTTGAATGAACTTGTTCCCTTTCAATGTCTCTACATGAGCAGAGAAGCTGTTCAGGCAGAACATGCAAAACCTAGCATCGCCTGACTGTGAACATGCAAATAGGCCCACGCTACGCATGCAAAACCTAGCTAAAAGGAAGATAAGAAGAGGTAATATGAATTTAAGACCAGAGAAGATGATGTAATGTTTGCTTAGCGCTCAGGTAATGTAGCTAAAGTCTACAGAAGGATCGATAGTATACAAAATAGCAGTAAGACACCTGCTGCAAGTCACGTGCGCCAAGAATGAGATCATGGTACATTGTGAATGATGCAAACTGTAAGAAACCAGCTTTTGTAAGAGACATGGCATTGCATACTCATGTTTGATGTGCTGAATCATGTTATTCCTTTATTAATTCTTTTAAAAATACAATTGTAAGTGTTTAAGTTTTAATGGTGTCAAATTATGCCTGTATAACTTTTAAAAAAAACGGTGAGACTGAAGTTGAAACATAATGGTAAATTTCTAGTCCAGTAATGTTAAAAATATGAAGAAGGATAGATTATAATGATAATTATGTTCAGCTAAAAGTGGTAACTTTGACATTAGGGAAAGGGTTAAATTGGTAAAACAGTACATGTAAACGGGCCACAAGATGGCAGCAGAGGATAAAAAATTCACCATTGGTAAGGAAGTGGTCAGCGAACACTATAGGCGGAGACCAGGTGCCCACCTGGAAGGTGGAGTTTAAGGTGAATATAAGGCGATCTTCGCTGACCACCACATCAGTTCCATCCTGAGACCTGCAGGGATGTTACTCGGGTTTACCTGTCCTTTATTGGAATAAACTCTTTAGCACCGACTCTTGACCGTCTCCAGTGAAGTTTTTGACTACGAAGTTATTGACATAAGAAGAAAGTTAATAGAGTATTATTTACTGAGTTTAATAAGTTGGTTAGGGTAGGGACCAGGCCTTCAACTGGCCCGGCCTGGCCTTATTTTCAACCCAACACCCACTTCACTGTGAAGCACTTTGAGTATCTATGACAGGGGTCACTAATAGGTGGACCGCGGTCCGGATCCGGATCCGGCTGTCCTCTCCGGACCGCCAACCTACAGCCAATTTATTATTGAGACACTAAATCGAGATTCACCAGAGACGTTTTGGAAACACACATGAATTGAGGAGATGAAAGGGAAAAGAGATTTCACATGGCTTTTAATCAAGAATGTACAGATTCTTACATGTACACGGACAGGACAAACTAGAGATCACGTTTCTCACTGAACAAGAGAAAGTAGGAGTGGTAGCTCTGTAAAAGGGAATGAAAGAGAAGAGGCGGCCTTACAGCTATTGATTTTTTATGATGTGTTGAGTGTTTATTACAGAATTGGTTAAGACTACACTTCATCACTTCAAGCTACACTTTTTATTTCATTTTTTTCAAAAAAAATTAGGCACTTTATTTTACTTTTTTTTAGTTTACTTAAATTTAGAATTTATCATTAGAGTAGTTATTATTTATTATCCCTCCAGTTTGATGTGAAAACTGACTGAAATATTATTTGATTTGACAGTCTTCACTAAAAACATATGTTGATACAACTATACGTTATGGTACTGAATGATAACGCAAGTTAGTCGTTATGATGTTCCGGACCTTTGCTTCGGGAAATTTTCAGGGACCAACATCTTGCGTCTAAGGCGTTATGCTCGTGGGCATCTGACATAGGCATGGTCAACATCTGGCGTTTGTTAACCTCTTTGAAAGACTTTACATTTTACTCAGGGAGACATAAATCCTTTTCGAGGATAGATTTCATCTTTGCCTCAAAAGATTTATTTCAAAACATTCAGAATGCGCATTACATTCCGGTTACCTGGTCTGATCACAAACCAATACATTGTTCAGTCACTGTTCGTCCGTCTTCCACTAAAGCCCCCAGATGCCGTTAGAATTCTTCCTTATTACAAGATGAAATTTTCAAAGCTCAGTTTGAAGCTAATTTTAGGGAATTTCTGGAATTCAGTGTCGGCTCTGTTTCCGATCCGAGGATACTTTGGGAGGCAGTGAAAGGCTTTATAAGGAGTAACACCACTTTGTACGCTTCAACATGAAACAAAGAACGTGCAGCCAAATTGGAAGCTTTGGAATTAAAATACGTGTGTTTTTGGGAGTGTACCCCAGTGGCAAAAGTTTGGAAGATGGTTGCCTTTAACCTTTCTTGTTGTTTGAGATTAGATTGCCCTGCTCGCCTGCTACACTCATTTTGAATGATTTGTCAAGGCTGGGTTTGACACTGGATGAGAGAAGAGCATTGTTGGCTGGACTTCCTGCGGCAGAAAAATTAGTTGCCACACGTTGGAAACCTCCGCATTCTCTCTCTCTCTTCGAGTTTGGGTCTTAATATTTGGATATTGCCTATTTAGAGTTGTCTACAGCTAGAGTCCACGGAGCGAAAGAGTCAGCAATAGAGGCTTGGCATTCACTCTTAACTATCCTCCGTGGGTTTCAGATTTAATATGTGACTGAGATTTGGAGTCCTGGATCCAGGGAGTGGGTGGGTATTTTTTGTTTTTCTTTCCTTGTTTTTCTTAATTTCATTTTTTCATTATAACTATTATGGTTATTATTATTTAATATTTTTAATTTAGTTGTCTATTACATGTATCTGTATATGTCTGTGTGTGTATATATATCTTTACGCTCTATTTTTGTAAAGTACATATACCTGTCTTTTTCTCCTTAAAACAAAATAAAAACTTGATCATAAAAAAACACTAAGGCTTAGGCCTATTCGACAATACTTTAGCTCAAGTGAACGTGGACACACGTTTTACTGACGTCAGTTAGCAATGCATCATTACTGAACTATGCCAAAGATCTGAAGAACTCCCAGGAAAAAATTGCAACAAGAGCAACGTGGAACAACAGAGACAGACACCAAACAGCCCTCTTTCTGCTACGAGGAAGTGATGTGTGTGTCCGTCCTCACCACTTCCTCGATTTCAGCATCATTCTCATTGAAAAAGAAGGTGAATAAATGAATTGGTTTACTGTTAGTGTATCTGTGACAGAGATGGGTGTGTGTGTGTGATGAGCCAATGTATATTAACCCCCCATGGTAGTGATAGCAGATCGCTACATGTACAGCGACACTTAAAACCTACTGTATATTGTTGATGTCTGCAGCATAGTGTATGTTTTTAGCCATTCAGCCGTTTCTATTCTCTGCTACTGTATGACTTTTTAAAAAGTCATTTGAGATCAATAATCTGTCAACATCCTGACAAATTTGATTTTATAATTTTGTCCAAGTTAGAATTATTATGGCGTTCTGATGCAGTTGCAAGCAATGACATAATACAAAGCACTGATTCAATATGAGGCTGCTGAGTGCTCTGATAGCTCCATGAACAACAGGCTGAATCCCTGCTGTTAACTGAGTTCTTTTTACAGCCTGAAGATTATGGCTCCCCACATGATGCCTCCCACTAGTTGTTTGTGCTGCTGGTGGTGCAGCAGCTATGTACTGTCTGTATGAGAAAAACCTAACAGATTTACACTTGTTGAGTAATTCACCTTTGCTTTGAATTAGCATTGACATGGGCAACAATAAGCAACTGTAGTCGTAGCGGAGACTAAGGGGAAGGAAAAGAACCAGCCTTACCGTCAGTTGCTCTGTGGAACTCCTCACTAAGTGTGTTGGTTACATCATTCCAGAAGGTGTAGAGGATATCAGGCTGACCGTCCTGTCATCAGGTACACAGAGAAGAAACACACTGCCCAAAATTGTAAATGCTCCGTATTTGTATAGCACCTTTCTACATCTGCATTCACTCACATTCACACACTGGTGGATTAGCCACCAGGGGCCAGTCGGGGGTTCAGTATCTTGCCCAAGGACATTTCAACATGCCTGGAGGAGCCGGGGATTGAACCGCCGACCTTCCGATTAATAGGCAACCTGCTCCACCTCCAGAGCCACAGGAGGCAACTTGACTGACACTGGTCACTCTTACCATCTTTTTCCTACTCAGTAATTGCTGCTGTCTGATTGCCCTTATACATTTTTTTAAATGACATTATCATGAAGTTGTGCTGATGTTGATCCTGTAAACAAACATTCACTTTTCTTTTATATTCTTACACTTCTGAACATCTTGGAAATAATCTTTTTTGTACCCATACTTGTACCTTCCAACCTGATGAGACCGTTTACCCTTCTGTTGGCTACACACACCTGTTACTACTGCTTGAGAATACTCATAATCCAACACTACCAGAGACTTGAGACTGGCTGAAGACTTGAGGCCGATCTCAACATCTGAATGCACTACAGAGATTTGAATGAAGAAATGAGCAGTTAAGATGGAGCCATAGGGAGAGAAACCCAACATTTTGCTGTTTTTGTTAGAAACCAAACTGAAATATCACGTGAACACACACTCCAAAGTTCAACACACTAATCCTCCTTTAGAGGAGCCTGTTGCAGGTCTGCTTTCCAGCTGGCTTCTCATATCCTCCACTTTCTGCAACTTCAATTTTTTCCTCTGTTTTTCTTTAACAGACCAACTACATGTGCACCAGCAAGATCTCCAGCAGCATTTAGACTTATAGGGGCTTAACAAATCAGAGATGTAGGCAAGAGCCTGATCACTCTAGATCTAAAATCCAGCATCATCTGAAAATCAATTCTAAAAATGACAGGACAGCAGAGCCTGTGAGCAGTATTAATACCCTGGCAGCAAGGGAAGGTATTCCCCCTGCTGAGAGCTGAATGAGGGGAGTTACAATAGTCATTTCACTGGCTTTCAAGTTCGTTTTTCTCTCCTATTACAATGAGTGGGTGGTGAGTTAATCACGTGAAGAAACCATGATTTAGGAGAGGATAAAACAAGTGATCCCAGGACTTAGGAAATAAAGTGCAAGACAGAGTACTAACCAGTGTAACTAGCACTTTTATAGCCCTGGGGATGTAGTACAAACCTTCACATTCAGAAATGGCAGCCATTTCTGAATGTGAAGGTTTGTGTGTTCACGGTCCACTACACAACCGATTACAAAATATTATCTTCCTCATAATGAGTTACAGCTCATTTGTCGCAATCCACATCTCAGGTATCTGAATGCTTCTCTTCATCTCCTTCTCCTCCTTTATAATTATAGTTATTTTGATGCAGCTACTCTAACATGTAGCTGCTGACAGCAGGATGATGTGTCTCTGCAGACACATGGAACAGTGAAGAGTCGTAGTGCAGCTGCACTGCTGAGGAGCCTTGCATTTAGACATGTCATTAGGTCTCCAACTCACACCTCCATCACAGGGTAATTGGTGAGAGCTTTGTTTCCATAGTAACAGTCTCCCACTCTGATTTGTACATCTAGGTTTCTGTGGAGGTACGAGAGTGAGATGCTGATGATGGTCATGATGGGTTAATGCCATGATTACTATTGATACAGCTACTAGCATTTAAGTGACCAGGCCCCGGGTGCTGGTGGCCTGCTGTTTTTGTTTCTTTCTTGCCCTCGTCATTCTTCTCGTTCTTGCTTGCTTTTAGCAATTGAACCGCCTTCCCATTCACAAACAATTATAACATTTAACAAAATTGTAAAACTTATTTACGTTCTGTTCACCCTAAATGTGAGGTCTCATTTGGATCCACAGTCCTCATTGTGTGAAAAAAGAATTATAATAACGCCAAAAATGTCATACTTAAAATACCATGACTTGGAAAGTATTTTCTTTTGTCTTCTTAAAAGAGCACCGCTGATTAAGCACCACTATCCAATACTGTCAGACTAATGGCTCACCATTTATAAAAAACTCAAAAGGATGAAAATCGATGCAGCACAACCAGGGGTATCCTCTTTTCTATTCCACGCATTCTTCTTCCATGTCAAAACCTGGCCTACATTACCCATACTGCAACTCAACTGCCAACTGTTCAGACAGAGATTTGGGTGTGTTATGCTAGTACTAGCTAATGTAGCCTGTAGCCTTTTAACTCCACAACATATTTCTTTCATTTTGAAACTTTTAGTCTTCAGGCCTAGCCGACTCTAACTCAAGTAGGGCTTACACCTTCTGGTCGGTCCATTAGTTGGGTTGATTTGCTCCATATGGACCAATTTCTGATTGGTCGGACAATCGCTGGTCCGTATCTTCTAAATGCAGGACTGGAATCCTAACTGTAAAAAGACAGCGACTGGCCCAGGGCCACAGATCTTCGACTGTTCTGCAATTGTTTGTTTTTTGTAAGTTTTTTGTAATTTCAAATTTGTTACAAATGTTACAAATTTGCACCAATTGCAAGTACAATAGTAACTAAGAGGAGTCCTGTATTCTTATCTGCTGCTAATCTAGTATCTTAGTTTAAGTTGTGCTGACATGGTCTATATTCCTAAACAAAATTGTGTTTCATCAAATTAAAACACAAATTTTAATTTTAAATTAGTTAATAAATAACTAATTTACACACAGAAAACCTGAGGCCAGATAGTATTATTCCTGCCTGGTGTTCTCAAATAATGAAACTGTATTTTCTGCTGTGAAATCTGTACTAAATGGGGACTTGGAGGCCAGAGCGTGCAAGAACGGGTGTGGATGTTTTATATTGATTGTGAGAAGAATGAAAATTAATTCATACTAAAATTGTTGGGTTTCTGCTCTATATGAAAAGTGTCATGAGATGTTGTGATTGTGATTTGGCGCTATATAAATAAAATTGAATTGAAATAAAACTACATGGTCAGACTGGCCTGATATCAGCAATAATTATTACTATTATGCCAAAACTAGAGCAATGGTGTCCGCCCACCTTGATGATCTCATCAATGAAGCACACATGAGTGACAGGGTCTCTCTTCTTCATTAGGACCTTCTGTAGATGTTGCACCTGGAAAATATCCAGCAAAGAAAACTTCATATTAGTTCATCACAGCCTGTGACTGCCTCGACTTTTGTTTTTAATGTGCTGTTCAACACTGTGACTGCTGTGCAGTCAGTAGCTACGTACCTGTCTACATGCTGCACATATCTGGTCCATCAGTTTCTCCAGGTTGGTCCAGAGAGCAGCACGGAAAGCTGCGGTGTTGCCGGGTGTCGGCAGCACTGCTCTGCCTGGTGCACCTGGGGGCCAAATACACAAAGTGCTTGTTTTTGATATGATATGAAACCAGTGCCATCATCCCAATATTTCCCAACCAAAGAGCTGATAGAGAAAAGCATTTATGACTGTTCATACAAATGCAGGAGCCAATAAGAGGAGTTTTTATGAAATGCCTATTTTAAGTAGAGCCTGAACGATATGGGATTTTTAAGACCATACAGATTACAGTATGTGAGAATCTTTAAAACCCGATATATCTTTTCAGAAATGCAAAAAATAAACACGTGTGTTATGTTATAACATCACAGAATGCTGAACAATCTGTACAACAAAATATTTTAAAGTTTTAATAAATAAGACTCAAATGTTTACAGCTACAAAATAGATTTAAAGATCCATTGTCCTACTACTAATGAACATTAAAGGAAATGGTGTATGTAGCTTATTTTGTGGGCCTGCTAAACCGAAACTATAAATAAAAGATACTAATATACTACAACTAGTATACCAATTATAACAATAATACCATATATAGTACTCATGTCATTACAATTATTTTATTACATTATAATGATTAACAGAATTAATATTTAAGTCATGTATTTCAGGTGATGAAGGACAAACTCACTAGTAACCCAGCTGACCTTCATACTGCGGTCAGCTGATTGTTTTGTTCTGTGGTGCAGCAGTGTTATTAACAGAGGAGCTGCAGCGCACCCTCTGGTGGGCAAACTATGCAACACTCGTGACATGAGTGAAGGATCTGTCTCTCCGTTTCATTAATCGGCTGTTGTAAATGCCGATACCGATTTATCTGCAATTATCTCATATCAGCCAATAATATTGGTTGGGCTTTCATTTTAATATGTTCTGAAGACATGATATTAAAGAATTAATTAAATTAAAGAAAGTCTATATAAAATTTTTCTTGTTGTCATCAAATCCAAGAACAAAACCAATGCCGTCTTGCACTTTATTTTCTCGTAATACAAAATTCTCACAAAATATAGTTTCATTTTAAAAAAGCCATAGTTCCATCATACCTGATGGAACAGCCATCGGGGGCAATTTGGGGTTCAGTATCTGGCCCTAGGACACTTTGACATGCAGACTGGCGGAGCCGGGGGATTAGACCCGGCAACCTTCTGATTAACGGGCAGCCCTCTCTACCTCCTGATCCACAGCCACCCGCAGCAACAGCTGCTTATTGCAGTTTTATCAAACAAACAGAAGGAAATAGAGCATTTCTTGGGGACTATTTACAGTGGCGGATGAATCCACACGTGGTGCTCTAGTGAGTATTTTGGGCAGCAGGATGGTGTATGTGGGACTGAGTAAATAAACTACAGTAATAAACTACAGTGTATGTGCTCATGGAGATGAAGGAACATGTGACCCAGTGTATGTCTCAGAGGAAGAAGATATATCAGTCTGTGGAGGACACACAGTACCTGTTAGGAGATACATTCCCTGTTGGTTTCGGTCTTTTTATGATTTGGTGACAGTAAAAGAAATATAGACAATCACTGGACTATCAAGATTTTTGAAGTGAAACAATCCTAAAAAGCCTGAAAATGCCAGAGGAAGAATCCTTAGCCTAATCAGTGCTAGTTATATGAAAGTACTGGGTGAATTAATTAGAAAGATTATGTGGTCTCTACCTTGGAGCCATGAAAATAACGTCCTCCAGACAGAATTGACTATTCTCTGTGGCCATGGTATAATAAGCTATTTTGGATCAAGCCAACTCATGAACTAGGTCACATCATAAAATGCCATTGTCTTTCATCTTTTAGAAATGAGGACAATGTATCCAGTGTGTGAGTGTCTCCATGTGTGTATAAGAAACTTCTTTCTGAACCACATCTTCCTTGGGTCTTACCTCTGGGGTTGGTTGGCTGTGTCAGGCCCTTGATATCTAGAGCACTAGTGATGTTGTCCTGTATGGTGGTCCTGTAACCAACCACTACGGAGCTGATGGTCCCTCTTAGACTGCCCAGGTTATAGAAGACCTGCAGGGCTGTGCCAACCTGGGTGGGATTCTGACCAACAAAGCAGAGAGGAAGACAGGGAGAGATAAGTGAAGTCATCCATGGTGCTGTTTTTAACTGAATGAAATTAACTCAGTATGCCAGCGAGTACAGAGGTGACAGCAGCAGCTAAAAATACACCTTAAATTGATTTAATGAGAGAGAGCTGTGAAAATGTTGCAGGGCAAAGTCAAGACAAGAAAAACTGAGGTCAGAGAAAAGAAAAGAAAAGAGGAAGGAGAAGAGGTCAAACACATAAATAGCTCCACTGCACTGACTCAGTTAAGTTTATTTATGTATTCTTTAATTAACAGGTTGACAGAAAATGTCAAATGACAATTTTTTTGATAACCGCTTATATCACTTGAGTCATTTTTCTAGCTAGTTTCATCTTCTGTAGTGTGTGTGAATAATTTTCTGCTCTACTTTTATATAATTGCAAATTAAATATCTTTGGGGTTTTGGTCAGAATTAAAGAAACAATTTGACTACATCACCCTGGGACATTTTTTGCAATACTTTCAGATAACTTCTGATTTAAATAATCATTAATTCCATACCTATTGTTGTTCCACACAGTTAAACAGTGGGTGGTGCAGGAATTACACATTAGTCTCTTTTCAACTGGATTTTGACAAATCTTGGGAGAATGACGTGTCTCACTGATGTATTCCATCACTCAAATGTTTACTCTCAAATCACAGGTAAAGACAAGGTAAGCAGACTGGGTCACCTGATTTACACAGTTACTTGTGTTATTTTATTTTTAGTCCGCTCATTTGACTTCATTCATTGAGGTCTGAGAAAGTTTAAGAAGAATTTTCTTTTATGGAAACATATTTCCAGCAGTGGGAAAAAAAGGCAATCTTGTCATCGCCACAAAGTTGCCAGGCAACAAGCAGAGATGCTGCACATAAGCATTAGTTAGGTGGGTAATTAAGAAAATTGTTACTGCACATAATTCTCTGTACAACAAATGATCATTTTAATATTCTGTCTGTGTAAGGATGAAACTATTCAAATCTAACATGTTAATCAGTGAGCATTAGAGGTGTTATTAGGTGTATTTTTTTTTATTCTGGACAGAACCAGGCAAGGTGTTTTCCCCTGGTGCCCGGGAGTTTCCCCATTAGATCTCTAAGATCTTCTGATCAGGGTCTGCTGCGCCCAGTGCTTGATCCGGGATGTTGATGGGGCAGGTCTCTGTAATGATGTGGGCACAACAGTCTCTGATCTCCGTTGCCTGGCCAACATGAGTCCCATTTTGTCCAGACCACACCTTTAGGAGCAGCCTTAAGTCCAAGCTGGGCCAACGTGGCTCCTATCCCCGCTCTTTTTCTTCTGTGAGCAATCACCGCACCCGCCATGGTACCTGGTCTGGTTGATCTGGCTAGTGGATAGTCTAAGGTCCGCTGCTCTTTAATCCAAAACACTGTCTTCCCTTTCCAGTGACTATATTTCTGTGATAGGTTCACATGCTACGGCAATAAAGCTGGAAAAAACTGATGAAAAACAAAAAGGTAGCGAAGTTTGAAGGAGTTACCGGCCGCATCTACATGCGTTACCAATTGCCTTAGCAATGTCTACATTCCAACCCTCACCTGTGGTCATAAACTGTGGGTAGTGACCAAAACAATGAGACTGCAGATCCAAGTGGCTGAAATGAGTTTCCACCATAGGGTGGCTGGGCTCAACCTTGGGCTGAATTCAGAACAAATCTGGCGTTATAGTGATTAACTGCAGGTTTGTGAAGCGGTGTGTAGGCCTGTTCATTTGTGCTTTAGAATTTAGCTATTTCCAGGAAAAACGCCTAAAATAACATACCCAAAATAAATCAGTAATAACTCCTCAACCATTAGGCCTAGATGCATAATTCTGGTTTCCTTTGAAAGGTCAGAAGGTAAGGAATTACAGACTACGTGGATATGAAATACAGAAAAAATATGATATTTTCATCCTCGCCTAGAAAAAGAAGCTATATTTTAATGCAATAAACCATCAAAACCATCATAAGGTAGATTATAACGCACCTGAATATCTTCTAATACACCTGGAATACAACTGTAAATTTGATGAAAAGAAACTAATATACAACAGTTATTACACAATCTTTCAAAAATATACCAGACGAAGTTCCATGTTTTGGCCATATTTACTGTTTATATGCTCGCTTTTATTGGGAGTTATCTTCAAAACATTATTTCTCTCCATACAACCACATTCCAAATAACATAAAGCTTCCAAAACATTGAAGCATTCATAAAAATAGTCAATATATATGACCAAAAGCCCTCCCATAAAATATAAAGACTGCCTCCGCCAAAGCAAACTCTTCTTCTCTACATCAATCTGACGACAGAAACGAAACTTAAGGTGTTTCTCAAAACCAAGAATGCAAAGAACGGACTTGTGTTCTTGGGAGAACATTCTTGCTAGTCGTTCTTGGAAGAATGAACTTGCAATGTCACAAGCACACAAAACGCTGCTGACGGTTTGAGACAATGCGTTCTTGCTGGTATTGGGGGTAATACCCCCAGCACAGAGGCCGCCTGCATTTCTCTTAATCGGTCTAATTATTATAACAGCCAGGTTTTATCCCCCAAAACAAAAAGCTCTGTAGCTCTGTGTTAACTGTAGGTTTTAACTTAACAAGATTTATTTGCTCATACATAAAAAATTATATAAATAAAAGCAAATAAAAGGCAAATACTGTGACCACAACTCTACTGTACACTAACAGTGTAATGTCTAATATAACAATATTAATAATAATAATAGTAATAAAGAAAAGACAGTCCCCTTTCTTTCTATTTGTTTAATTTTTCTGTTTTTGGACGGAAAACAACTAGAACAGCAAAAATCGATTACATCCCCCATATCGGGCAAGTCCGTTTCATGACATTTCAAGCTAACTGTGGAGCACTGTGGCCACCGCACCGTGACTGTTCTGAATTCCCATATTCTGCCAGCAGGTGGCATTGTTGCATAATACTACATAATATGGTCTGGAAATTCAGTCAGGCAGTGAGTAAGGTAACTCAGGGGTCCTTTACATGTGCTGCTGCACAATTGTTCATCTAAGCATGTGTGTGAATGCCCAAATGTAAGTTGGCTACGCGTTATATTATTGTTGCCTGAAACTATCATAACTGCGTATCATGTTATGATAGTTTGTTGATTCAGGTTTGATTGTGGACCATTTATCATTGTATAAATGATTATAATGTCACAATGTTAATGCTAATGCTAAACTGCTAATGGTAGCCTAGATATAGTGATATCTTTATGTCAATGTTATTACTCAAGCACATAGATGCTAATATCTTTAAGTTGATAATATGTTATGGCTAGATATTTAAACTCAGTTCTTTATTGATTTATAATTCCAGAGATCATATGACTGTTGAAGTTTAAGTCACTGTGTACCTAAGGCATTAAAGACAAAGGAAGCCAAAGTCCCTGTTCCCGTGTCACTCTCTGATTGGAGATCTATTACAGATGAAGAAACAATCTAAACTATAAGTTTGAGTAGACGCCCCTACCAAGGTTTGTTCTTTAATACTGGTCCTTCGAGCCAGATCTCTTCACCTGCAGTGGTTACAGTATGGCAGAACAGGGAGCAACAGCAGCCCTAAAGACAACAGTAGGTCAGAGACAGAGTAGACACCTTCCTCAACTGTACGATTATCAGGTGACCCTGCCACAATCATTGACAATGTCTAAACCTCTTAGTGCTAGCAGCCCGGAGTTGCGATCGTGTAGTAGGCAACAGAGGCCCTCTAAAACACATGACCAGCTTCATACGATGATCGGGCATCCAGGAGGTCTGATACAATGTCAGAGTGATGAGGTAGAGAAATTGGAATCAGCTACTCTCTAATCAGCTAAATACCACTCTGAGGCTTGGACATCCCTTGTCAGTGGGAAAACAAGATGGCAGTGCAGTTGTATCTGACGAGGACATTAACCTAACGAGTGGTTTTCTTCAGTACAAAATGCCAGGTTCTGCAATCTCCCCCAAAGCTCACAAATGCACAGCACAGCACCAATGTCTATTCACGACACTACATCGTTGCCTATCATCAGGAATGCCGCAAGCAATACATCGGTACAGCCGTCTACATCAACACTGAGGCATCTTGCACCAACACAGTTTCTTGTCCAGCCGCCAACGATGTCATCTACATTACTTTACATCGACATTTTTTCTGCTCTGTCAGTTAACCCTAGCACGACACAGCCAACTCTGTCTCAAGCATACAGAACTAGGTACACATGTCCAAGTAGCTATCAACAGATGCTTAAGCATGCAAACCCAATCTGTGCCTGTACCGTCAGGAGCACCACCTACCTACCCCTTTGCAGTGACAGCTGGACAGGACCCAAATCAGCCATTGGGAATGGCAGCAGCTCATCCTCCGAACTAGCTGGCCTTCAGTCTGTTCATGCCAGTGTATTCGACCACACCAGGAACTTGTCCTGTTGTAGCTTCTCAGCACCAGCCAACCCAGGTGCATCAGCTAGCATCCACGGGATTGCCACGATTACATCAAACCCTACCTATGACTGCAGCTCAGTCTTGTTACTTCCATCCCTCAGCTACACCAGTTCCTCAGCCCCAACCAGTGCAGACAATTTACCAGCCAGGCTATCCTCCATATGATCCATTAGCTTCCCATTGAGCTGTTTCAGCTCACACAGCCCCTCAGGCATTCTCAGTTGTGCCTCCATGCCCTACTCAGCCAGTCCCAGTGCCAGCCCTTCCCAAGTTGGTGCATGATAGTGACAAGGAATTCACTGACCTGAAGATGGCGCTAGACTATTTGTTGACTCCACACACTGAACTGTCTGAACATTATAAGTATCGAGTCCTTATGGAACACCTGGTATTAAAAGAGGCATGCCTTATCGCTCAGGCTTGTCGTCACCAGCCTCAGCCATATTCAGCTGCTATTCAAGCATTACAGCGACAATATGGACAACCTCACCAGCAGCTGAACTCCCCTGACATCAAGGCAGGAGATTCCAAGGCGTTCCAGAGCTTTGCCCTCCGAGTTGACCTTCTACTACCTGAG